ACCTATCGTAGTAGAACACGGCGTACTGCGGGGTGGGAGGCAGCTTGACGTCGGGCGGGGCGGCGGAGGAGCGGTAGAGCCCCAGGTTGTGGCGCGCGCACACCTCCTGGACCCTCTGCAGGCGGTGCTCGTTCCAGCGGCTCGCTGCTCGCTGCAAACAAAACGGCTTTACGTGCACTGGCTCCGAGTAGAACATGAGGGAGAAATGCAAGGCGATGCAGACATGACATGTCGCCTTATTTGAGTGGGATGTAAATACGATGCTCAATTTGGTCGAGAAACACATGACTTGGTGATCGTCCAGAAAGTACGTCCGTCATTCGCCGAGCCAAACTGCCAAGTTCAGCCTACTGGCCACTAGTTCAGCCGACGCAAGCTTTCATAGCGCCTGCTAGGTAGGCAACAACTTGACTACAGCGCATGCGTGCACCGCGGGGTGGCCTATCCCCAGTCTCGCAGGCGCTGAGCTCCCGTGATTTGCCGAATGAATCAGAGGAATTAGGGGACTATCTAAAATGGACGTACTTTCTTTACGAAAAACGTTTCTAATATACAAGTATGTGCCTTCCAGGTCGACCTTAGCGCACGCATGCAAAGCCTCAATAATCAGGCGCGCTTGTGAAATCTTACGCGCGAGCACCTAAAATTTGCAACTCACTATGAAACTGGCTGCCTCCTTCTCCGAGACGTTGACGGCGTCCTCGGCGCCCTCTTCCTGACGTCGACGCTGTCCTTCCTCGGACTTGCGGCGCACGAGCTCGTCCTGGAAGCGGTGGAAGCCTCCGGGGTCATCCGGGCCGAACTGCGCCGGCGCGTCGTCGTCGCCCTCGGTGCGGGTACTCTTCTTGCCCTGCAGCAAGCCGTTGTCCAGCAGTCCCAGGACGAGGGAGGCGACCAGCAGGAGCGCCCCGCACACCGCCAACGCCACCACCAGGCGGCGGATGTGGCGGGGCTTCATCGCCAGGACCAGGTCCACGATGGCGGCGGGGGTCACGCGACGCGACGGTGCTCAACTGGTGCTCACGTACTCCGACCCCAGCCTGACGACGACGGCATCCTGCGCCTCGACTCTCCGAAGCAGGACCAAAAACTGTCAACTCCGCGTCGCAAACCGCCCGGGCAGCTACCGGTCCGCGAAACGGCCGCCACCCCGTGCCATCGCCCGCCTGGTTCTGGCAACAACACCGCGAAGTTGGGCCCCCTCCGGTACCCTCCGGCCCGGCCTGCCCGGCCGCCCCCCCAGTCCCAACGGGACCGCTGCGCGCTGCGCCGCGCCGGATGGGACGGCCGGCCGGGCTCAGCGCGGCTAGAGAGCGGCGCTCAGAGAGGTAACGGAGCCCCGCGGGGTCGGGTAGGGCGCTGCTCGCGCTGCTTGCCGTGTCGTTCCGCGAGTGCCCTCCAGCGGGCCGGGGACCGCCAAATGCAGCAGCACCAGTTTCGGCGAGACCATGATACCAGTCGTAGTCTCGACTTCATGGCATGCCCTATTGACTCCTGCTGGATGCTACTATTCCAGCCCGACTCTATGGCGATCAGCCCCCCCCCCCTTTCCCTCTCGATCCTTTCTGCTGCAGCGACATCAACATCGCGCTCCTGTTCCGTACCGCGCGGCAGCATCGCATCACGGTGGCGCCGGAGGCTCGGAGCGTGCCGAGAGAGCAGCGACCTCACGACTGTTCCACTCCAGGGAGCGCGGAGCGGCCGGCGGGGGTGATAAGCCCGACATTGTCCATACCTCACCACCACCCTGCTCCCCTGCTCGTGCCGCCCGCCGGAGACGAGCATCTAATGAGTTGGCGGTTTTGAGTGAGGCCTCGGCGAGCTTGGCGTTTACCTCGATGACAACTTCTGCTCTCGGACGCGGGCGGCGAGGAGGGCGGACCGAAAAGCCGTGGTAGCAAGGGCCGTTTGGTTGACTCAAGCTCAAGTGCCCAGGTAGCCAGCCGTGACGAGAACAAAGGAACGAGAGTGCCGAGCGAAGTCTAGACCTAGACGGGGCTGGCACTATGGCGTTCATAGTGCCTCCATACAAAGTTGTCAAAATGGACGCCGCAGTGTTACGGGTTTGCCTACTCCCCCGTAAGGTGCCATGGCCCCTAGAGAGTATGCTATTGCTATTCCGCGGCACTGCGGCGTAGCGTTGGCTCCAACACTCCCGCTATTGATCTGACATTCCCGAACATAACATCAAGTACTGATGGGTAAACGACCCTTCTTGGATCGTCGTGGGTGGGCCTGAAGGGAAAGACGATACTAAACCAATACATTTCCGAATCAACGGCGCCATGGCGTAGACAACACACGATCACGCTGTGCGATCCATGGGAGAACATCGCCAGTTTTAGGATCAGCAGCGTGGCGGTGCGGTGCCGGCTCCCGCTGGTCTGCGGCTCATCTGGCGTGGCTGCCGAATAAGTTGCCTACCCTTCAGGCGAGGGGGCCGACAGGACAAAGCTGCCAATTATTTCGCCTCAAACCAACAGAATAAGCGAGTAAAATTTGTTGTGATCGGGAGAATACAAATTTGACCACATAGCGTTTAAGAGGGGACCTCTAGGGGGACCTTTGAAACAAAATTAATAATTATCTGCTTAAGGATTAAGTTTTATCCCCGAGGGGTGCCCAACTCGTAAAATCAATGTACAGCGGATTACGAAACAGGAAAGATTGACCTAGGATTACCGAGGACTATCTGGGATTACCAATGATTACCAAGGAATACCGGTGGTTACCAAAGATTACCAGCGGTGTTTGTTCGTCCTTCGTTTACCGTATGTGTATGTCGCTATCATCAAACGACAAACTTAAGACAAAATAACTCTATAGCCAGTCGTTCTAGACGCTAATCCTAACGTAATAGACCCTATTTGGTCTCGGCTCAAGGAGAGGAAAACAGGAATACCGACCGCGGAACCAGTTACAAACAAATCACGCTACTTTAACGTTTAAATGAATTTGGTGGGTAAAAGCACCATCCAAAATGTTTCTTAGAATTTTTATAGCAGGTTTGCAAGTTTTCTCGTACAGATATGGCAGGATAGACGTACAAGTACAGGTGCAAGGTAGTCATGTTAACACGGCGGGCCCACGAGCATCCACTTGCATAGCACGAGCCCTCTTGGTCTCTCGGCGGCGGCCTTGATCCATTCGATTCAGCGCAAAGCAGCCCGAACCGCAACCGGACATCCTGCCGCAGAGACAAACGTGTGATGATTCTACTGACATTCACCTGGCGGGAGGGCGCCGCCCTTCTGCTGCATCGCCAACCCTTACCCCGGAGCGCTTGCAAGGTGCTTCTCGTGCTCCGCTATCCTCGCTCCTGCAGCATGGTCTCCCACTCCTCCAGCCGCTTCAGCCAGCGGCGCTGCTGGGCCCGCTGCAGCTCCATCTGTGCCATGAAGGACTCCATGCCGGCGGTCCCGCCACTTCTGCGGGCCGGACTGTCTTCTCAGCGGCGACCGGGACCCAGTGCCTCCTGGACATGACAGGGAGACAACGTGACGCCATCTGCACGGCGGGGGACGAAAACACTCAGCTGCTGGACACCTTGTGGTTTGGCACCCTTTTCCCTGCAGGGTGCAGGCCAAGCCTAGGTAGGGTGCCCTGTTATTGGACACGCCCTGCCTGGGCCCCTCTGCAGGGAAACAGCACCAAACCACAAGGTGTCCAGAGGGTCACGTACCTGAGTCGCACAGCTGCTGGTCACCCTGGATTTACAGTGTAAGACAGGGGGCCCCACTCACTGCAGCCAGCTGCGAATCCTGTCAGACGCTGAGGGCACGGCGGAGGCGGCTGGGGCGGCGGCGGTGAGTCCGTCGTCGGGGCCGCCGGTGGCTGGTCCGGCTTCATCGTCGGCTGCTGCGGCGACGATGGTGGGGCCGTCCGCCAGTGGGGCGGAGGGGCCTTAGTTATCTGACCATTACCAATGTGTGGGTGAATTTTGTTTCACTGCATCTCATTAAACAAAGAAAGAACATCAGAATGTACCTCCGGACCCATTTTCGTGGTCTTGGCAGCCTGAACCTACAAGAAAGCTATTGTCTACTTTGGAAGCTTGTGCACAAGATTCATCCAAAAACAATTGGTTTAAAAATCTGCACTAAGGTTTTCCTGAATCAGGACCACAAGGGCTGTTAAATGACACAGGGGGTTTTAGTATACTATGTTGCAATCTTGCAAACAATCTTGCATTATTTTATTTTACAATTTACTAAAAATACTAAAATTCAATTTTGTTATATTTCTAATGAAACATTTACTTCTAAAATAGACAACAGCCTTCCTGTAGGTTCAGGCTGCCAAGACCATGAACATGGGTTCAGTGGTGAAACAAAATTAACTTACACATTGGTAATGGTCAGATATCTAAGGTCCCCAAATTGTTCCTACTGAAAAATGCCAAAATGGTCAGCTTAAGTTACAACCCTCTTAAGAATAACAGCCGATCAGCGTAAGCGGTCCTGTATGGTAGAGACACTTACTCCAGTGTAGAGACTAACCTCACAAAACGGCGCAGCCAAGCGGCGGTCGGGAAGCTCACGACGAATCAGGGCCACTCCAGTTTCACCCCCTCATCGTATTAAGGAGGGCAGAGTACTCACTCATCTTTAATTGCCTGAGGAGTTTCCGGAATCAGTTCAACAAGCCTTTCACACAAGGGGATGAGCTCAGTGCGCGGACGTGCGGAGGAGTGCACGGCGTCCGTGTACGCTGTCCGTGTACGGGGCTGCCAGAGGCGCTGCCAGGCCAGGTCTGCCCCGGCCCAGGGCCAGGGTTGCCTAGCAGCAACAACAGTAGCCGGGATAGAGGGGCGGTCAAGGAGCGAGTTCCCCAAAGGATGCACTAGGGATGCAGACAATAATCGCACTACGGGAACGGCTCAGAAGGGGGGGGGGGGGCGGTTGAACGAGACTTTGCCTTCTGGTAGAGAGTCTCTTAGGGGACTGTCTCAAAACATAGGCGCGCAGTCTTGAGCGCAGCGGTGGCGTGGCGGTGCACTGCCGATGCTGCAATGCGAGCTCTGCGCCCCCCTCGCCCCTGGAGAGCAATCGGAGAGCTCCCTGAAAACAACCAACAACCAGAAACGCCTTCTAAATTGACTGGAACAGGGTGAGGGGGGTAGTGGGAGGGGAGGACTTTAGTCCAGCAACACAGTTAGCCCGCTCTGTGCTAGAGAGTGAGG